TCATATTTTTAAGTTTAAATATTTAATATATAAAATAATACAACAACATGTACCAGGGGTCGGCAAACTACAACCCACGGGCCAAATGCAGCCCCCTTCTGCTCTGTTTTTGAATTAAGAATGGTTTTTACAAGGAGGAGGAGGAAGGGGTAGGGAGAAAGAATAGTGGTGGCTGAACTCTATATTCTATATATGCATAAAATAATAAACACATTTACCTATAGCAGATCTCAATTTGCATGTGTCTAAAAGCAAGTGGTCACCACTGTATACAGACTTTAACTAAACAAGTTCTGTTATGCTAATAAATTCCTTCTCTGAATTTTGCCTCCATTCTAGATTACTTTCACTTATTGCACTACAAATATCTGGTAAGCCGTGTAATAATCTTAAAACAAAAATCAAACGTAGCTCTGGAAAAACTTGTCACTACAAATGCACTTATGTGAAGTATTATGGAATTAGAAAGCAACAGCTGCTTCTTGATCTTAAAACATATTAAGAACTTGTTAATATCCATGTTTTTACAACTAAGTTTTCTAATCTATAAAACATTTGACATTTATACAAAATGCAGCAAAGAAATGCTGAATACACTGGTTTTGGAGTTAGCATTTGTTACTTTGAAAAACTTACTGAGAAATGCTGAAGTAATTCATCCTTTTCCTCCTCATTGAATCCACCAACTGTTAGTGCTTTGGGGCGGTGGTCCACCACCATGTGATTTAGTGAGCCCCTTCCTCTTCCCCCACGGCCTCGGCCTCTTCCTCGACCTTGAGAGGACATGGTCTTTCCTCGACCCACAGGTAAGATACCTAATCGCGCAGCCTGAGTAACAACAACAAAAGGTAGAATGTAATAGACACTGTTAGACTAAATAATGGAAAACAGAGGAATACAGAAGTAGTTGTTGAGATGTTAAATGTGGTATGTTGGTAACTCCTCAAATCTTACCTCCACTTGTAACTGATTGAGTTTTTTCCGTAACTCTGTTGTGTCTTCTCCTGAGGACAGCCTCTTGTGGAGGTCCAGTTCAGTATCTAATAGCTCTTTCTGGGCCTTTGAAAAAAATGAAGAGTAAAAATCTATTTTGCAGAGAACTTCCAAGATCTTACTCAGGACATTACTTATAAAATGACACAAATCTTTTTTAGGAAAATACAAGTGGCAGAAATTTTTAGGGAAGCAATTTTATGGATATAATACGACAAACATGTAGAGAGTATGATTAAATCAGTGGACAATAATAAGCAATACTATTGCATAAGTCGTTCGAACAGAACAAGGGGATACTGAGTGGATTAAAATCAGAAAAGGTATGCGTCAGGGCTGTATCCCTTCACCATACTTATTCAATCTGTATGCTGAGCAAATAATCCATGAAGCCGGACTATATGAAAAAGAACGCGGCATCAGGATTGGAGGAAGACTCATTAACAGCCTGCAAAATGCAGATGACACAACCTTGTTTGCTGAAAGCTAAGAGGATTTGAAGCACTTACTGATGAAGATCAAAGACTACAGCCTTTAGTATGGATTACACCTCAACATAAAGAAAACAAAAATTCTCACAACTGGACCAATAAGCAACGTCACAATAAATGGAGAAAAGTTTGAAGTTGTCAAGGATTTCATTTTACTTGGATCCACAATCAAGACCCATGAAAGCAAAAGTCAAGAAATCAAACGACATATTGCACTGGGCAAATCTGATGAAAAGTAGCTATTTAAATTTTTAAAAAGCAAAGATGTCACCTTGAGGACTAAGATGCACCTGACCCAAGCCATGGTATTTTCAATCACCTTGTATGCATGTGAAAGCTGGACAATGAATAAGAAGACCGAAAAAGAATTGATGCCTTTGAATTATGGTGGTGGTGGACAATATTGAATATACCGACTGCCAGAAGAACGAATTAATCCGTCTTAGAAGAAGTATAGCTAGAATGCTCCTTAGAGGCAAGGATGGCGAGACTTTGTCTCCCATACTTTGGACATGTTATCAGAAGGGACCAGTCCCTGGAGGACATCATGCTTGGTAAAGTATAGGGTCAGCGAAAAAGAGAAAGACCCTCAACAAGACAGACTGACACAGTGGCTGCAACAATGGGCTCAAACATAGCAACGATTCTGAAATGGTGCCGGACTGGGCAGTGTTTCATTCTGTTGTACACAGGGTCACTATGAGTTGGAATCAACTTAATGGCACCTAACAATAACAACAGCTGCATGAGATGGCCTAAAAATCAGATGAGGCAGCTGAGAATAATTTCACATAATGATAAAGCATCATAAATAAAGCATAATGGGGAAAAATAAATTAGTAAAAATCCATTAACAGTGAGTTAAAGGATAATAGTTACAAAATTACATTCTGATTTGAACCGTGTAACTACTGTCACTCTTTTTTCTAGAAGACAAAATTATCAGTCTTTAGGTGGTATGACTGACTTTTTTTCTTCCATGTACTCTCTGATTTTTAAATGTGCACATGTTCTTTCTATGATTGGGGGAAATTTCAATAAAAATAACAGTTTTAATATCTTCTAAAGAAGCAATCTTGAAACACTTTATATTTCTATACTGAGAGAAAACCACAATTTCAAATGTAGTATGATATTGTACATAACAAAATTTGCATTCTATATATCTGGCAAACTGATCTCAGTTCCCAAACGCCTGGACATTCATCTAAAATCCCACTCCAGAGCAGTGGTACAATGGAACCACTGTGTAACGCTAGTACTCTCCTAGAAGGAGGAAACAGAACAGATGAAAATTAATAAAATTAGACTTAAATGGATCTGGAAGCTCTAATTATTCATTTTAATATCATGCCACATTTTTACTCATAGTAAACCAAATATCTTTTGAGTATTACAATGGATATTTTTATTACAACATTATTATAGCATTAGAAAAAACTGAAAAAGGAAACATCTCTTTTCCCTCATCACTCTAGCAGTTTCCTATTCAGCACAAAGAACCAAAAAATTCAAACAGGGTTATTATTAACTCTTCTCAAAGACAGAACACAGCATCTACAGAAACACTTAAAAAAAAAAAAAAAAAGTACTGTAAGGGTTTACCTCTCCCCATTAGAGTATTAGAACCTGAGGTTTCCACTGTACTTTCACAGAGCCAAGCACACAGCAGATGTTCAATAATCCTATGATGACCGAAAAACGCAAATAGATACCTCTGTCTTTGTCTTCACTTTAGATGGTGTGGAGACTGCAGAAGATGTTTTTAACTCATCTTTCAACTGTGAGATCTTTTCTCCAAGCTCTTTCAAAGTCTTCATTATATTTGCTCTTTCTTCTGGTTTCATATTTTTGTTTTTTTCCAGCTTAGATATTAACATCTACAAAATTAACAGAAAAAATTAAAACTATGCTTAGTATATTTTAATATAATTATAAAAATGCTTAAAAACTTTACTATTAAGGATATCTTTATAAAGCTCATTCGATATATAGCATCCAAAATAACGAGCTCTTGTCTTACCTTTTGGCATTCTATTTGTTTTTCTAACATTTCTTGCCTCTTTTTCCTCATATCTTGTTGAAGCTTCATTGCTTCCTATATGAATAGGTAAAGAAGAAATGAGTAATTACACAATGCTACTATATTCTCTATTCATTTCTTCTGAGGCATCTCTAAGACATATTTCCCTCTTAAAGAATAACTGAAAGCAGATATGAAACTTTTCAATACATTTTACCTAGCAGTTCCAGTATAACAGAATTTACACTTGTAGCTGTGTATTTTTTTAAGCATTTAAAATATTAAACACTAATTAGCCATATCTGAGGAGCCCTGGTGGCCCAGTGGTTAAGAGCTCAGCTGCTAACCAAAAGGTCAGCAGTTCAAACCCACCAGGTGCTCCTTGGAAACCCTATGAGGCAGTTCTATTCTGTCCCATAGGGTTGCCATGAGTCAGAATCAACTCAACAGCAATGGGTTTTATTTTTTTGTAGGGTTTATTTACTTAAATGACCTGAATGCCTGTATGAAGAACTGTCTTCTCTTGCTAGTGTAATAAGCCAAATTATTTTTGAAGTTTAAAGTTTAAAAATTTAAGATGCAGCTAAATGTTAGAAATGATAACAAAATCTAAGGCCTTTTGCCAAGAAGATTTTGTCTCCCCATTCCCCTATTAATTAAATCTTTAATTATATTGAAATAATACATATAAATATCTATTTTATTTGGGGAAAAAAGCGAGCTTAAATCTAAAATGATAATGAAACTCAGAACTGAACTATTTATGAATAATAACTACATGAATGTTATATTTTATGTTAAACACCTAACTTACAAAATCGGAAAGGAATTAAAAGAGAAAAGAAATACTCAAATAGAAGTGCCTGTGTCTCTCGGAGGGGGAAGAAAATGACAGCTCAGTGTTGTTTACTTTTATACTGAAATATATGTTATTCCTTGTGTTGGTGTGGCCACCGAAAGGCAGCTGCAAAACATTTTTTTCTGTTTGTTCCCCTTTGTTTCCCCAAGTGCACAATAAGTAGGAAAGAAACGAAATAAACATTATCCTATAGTTCCACAACAACATGAACTCATTCAAAGATGTTAACATAATCACCAAGAATTCAATGGGTCCATTCCTCTTTAGGGAAAGGAGAATTAAGGCTGTTACCTGTTTCTTTTTAAGAACTTCTTGAACATCATGAGATTTAGACGCTGAACAAAGTTTTGAAGGTGTTTTTAAGTTTGAGGAGCTGTAAATCATTTTTGGATGGCCTGGTGTTGAAAATACCTGAAACGCATAAATATGATTAAACTAAATCTTAGAAATGCTTTAAAATAATATTTTAGAAAAACTGCATATATTTCTACTTCAGGAGTTAATTTTTTTTTTTACATTTAAAAACTTCATTTATAAAAACTAGCTCTCTATACATAAATTCAATCGTCACTCAAAGACCAAAACAAAGATTTGTTCATTATTTTTTAGCAATAAAATTTTATTTCTGAATGCAATCGCATAATTTTCTTTATATATATATATATATATATATATATTTTCTTTAATTGTTAGAAAAAATAATAACGGCCTCTGCCATCCAGGAGCTGGCCTGGTACTCATAGCTAGGCCTTAGTGTTCTCCTGCTAAACATAAAACCATTTCACAGAAAATCAACATCTGATAAGGACAGTCTGTGACCATGACAGGGAGACCACTGCATACTCATGACTGAACAAAGACAAAAACACAAATAGTATCCAAACCATAAAAATTAATAAATAACTAAAGATCCCTCTACACTGGCTAATATAAGTGATTGCTGCTTCTTTACCAATTACAGCTTTAGACTCATTCTAGTCTTCCCTCCTTTTAGATTAAGATTTATTAAGATATCCAGCATAGAAGTACTCCTGTTTCCTTAAACCTTCCCTAAAATCACATAACACAATCCCAAATACTAAAGTGAATCCTTTTAAACACCTGCTGAGATGCCCCATGATTCTCACTGTGTGCACTCTCCTTATTAAGTAACAGACCCAACCTGTTCAACTACAGGTATGTTCCTGGTGGACTGGCTAGAGGGTACTGTCATAAGTTACTTTCCGTAAGTGAAGTGCCAAATAAGAATCCCTATTTCCAATAACTGGAAACTCTTCTAAGAATTATAGTTCTTTGTATCTCAATATTATACTTAATCAAATGTTTTGAGTTTACAAATAAACTAAGACAAGTAATTGGTTCACAGATGTGACTTTGCAAGCAACCAGGAGGTGGCCACCCTCATTGTGCTGTTTTGGCATTTAGAGTCCTTTCCTCTTCTGATCAGATGATACACCAGTTAATCTGCTCTTTAACATATAGCACAGATACATGGTACACTACATTCTATCTGCTTCAAGTGTTTTCTAATGCATTCTGCTCCTTTCTTCCCTTGCTTCCTCTCTCTTTTTCTTTTCTTTCATTAACTTTAAATACATGATTTAAGAGATGCAGGAAATAATATTAAGAAATTCATGGAAAGTTCAATTATGGAAAATGTACTTCCAAATATAAAACTTCTCTCAATCTCCATGATACTTAATTGTCTGCAAAATTAAGCTACCTTAACTACACAGGAAAAGTCTCTCAAGTATTGATGGTCATGTTATTATTACCATTATATTTTTAAAATAAAAACAACACCTACAATTTATTGAGCACTTATTATCTGCAAAGTACTTCCTGTTTATGCTTTATATTAACATGAAAAATTCTAATCTCCATATTAACTCCATGAGTTAGATATTTTTAAACTCATTTTACTGAAAAGGAAACTGATGCTCAGCTAACAAGAGGCAAGCAAAGTCAGTCACGGCTGGCTGACTTCAAAGTCTGTACACTTATTTGTTTTTCTACCTTTTCTTTAATGGAATTTTTGAAACAGATAAAAGTACAGGGATATCTGTATAAAAATCTTGATGTATCCATCACCAAGTAGCAACAACTATAAATACATAAATAATCTTATTTCATTCATATCCTAACTACTACATCCTCACCTCCAACACCATATCATTTCATCTGTAACTATTTCAGTTGTGTCTCTAAAAGATAAGGATCTTATTCTTTTTTAAATATAGCTACAATATCACCATCATAATTAAAAGATAACAACAGATCAAACTGACAACAACTCAAAAGGTTTGATGAGAAGCCTAGGGGGCAGTGAGTTGAAGACAACAGTGATGGAATAATTTGGAAAAGGGTAGTGAAGACAGCAGTACAACTGGAAGAATGTAATCAATGTCACTATAATTGTACATGTAGAAATTTTTGAAGTAATGTAACTTTGGCTGTGTATATTTTCACCAGAAAAAAAAAAAAAAAGGGTCCTCCAAGGTCGAGAAGCAGAGTGTTGACATGTCATGGGGTTGTTAACCAATATCATAAAATAATATGTGTGCTGTCTAATGAGAAACTATTTGTTCTGTAAACCTTCATCTGAAGTACAATAAAAAAATAATAACATAAAATAAAAAGATAACAATAATTCTTAATATCATTAAATATTCACATCTCTGGATTGTATTACAATTTTCTAAACATTTTTCCATTTGAATTGGGATCCATCAAGGTCCATATAGTGCAACTGGTTATCCTCTTTAGTCTCCTTTAATTTATAGTTTCCCTTCCCATCTCTTTCTTTTCCTTGCAAATTATTTGTTAAAGAAACCAGGTCACTCATCCTGTGTATTTCCCATAGGATTCTGCGGTATCCCTTAACATATTCCGCTGTCCCCTGAATTTCCTTTAAATTGGTGGGCAGAGTTAGAGCTTTGGTGAAATTTGTTTTTCTCTTCGATAGGACTCTAGTAACTCACTGTTAACTTCCTTGCTTTCTAGTTTGCCAAAATATTCCAGGCTCATCTGGAATATTACCAACCCCAGATCTAGAATATCCATTTCTCCAAGGATCCTTGGTTCCTGAAGGTGCTAGGGATGCTCACCACTGATGGGTTAGTTATTCTTTCTACACCTTTACAGTGAATAGAATTAGGAAACGTTTTGTTTTTTGGTTGTGTGTTTTTTAAGATAAAATACAACCTGAGTTTATACTGATACTTTCAATTCAAATAAAGGAACACAGTGTTTTTACTGAAACTTATTTCTCTTATATCTCTTTTCAATAACTCTGAAAATCTTGATTGTCAATGACACCAACATAATTTCTCATTTGATATATCCAATAATACTCACAAATTAGTCTCAGAATACCAACACTGCCAACAATATGATCTGTGAAAAGAGCTTTGTTCATAGTTTTTGTCCTTAGAGCATATCCCATTAGGAATATATAGTTAAATCATTTAGTTTTAAAGCACTTAGAATAGTTACTCTCTATGCAGATATGCTACCAACTGGATATATGTAGTTAAGTTCATTTGTTTCATTTTTCCTTTTATTTTACGGATTTTAACTTAATTTAATAATTATGTTCAGTATTTACACAGTTCTGAGTCAAATCTTAAATAACAAGATGTAGTCAAAGTCATCTAGCTTTTTCTAGCACTGCTCTAACATAATTTAATTTGCATAGTTTATCTTTTTTGGTTTTTTTTTTTTCTATTACAAGTAAATAATTATGTGTTCATTGCTCCTACTTTCTTATACCCATAGTGGCAACCTATAATTTTTCTTCCATTTTGATTTTGTTACTTAATATATTCTAAAGCTCACTCCATGGTATACGTAAAAATATTCCTCATTCCTTTGAAAAATTGCATATACTCTACTGTTTAAATGTTTCACATTTTAATTAACCAGTACAGAACCGATGGGTTGTTTCCAGTCTTCTGCTATTATAAACAGTCTAAAATTACTAGCCTTGTGCTTATGTCTTTTCATACTTTGGCTAGTGTACACTTCTGAGAGATTCTCAGAAGGAGAATTAGTAGTTTAAAGAGAAAATGCATATATAATTTTGCCAGATACTGCCAAATTTCCTTTTGAGGGGGTTGTATCACTCAGCATTTCTATCAGCATCTAAATCTCAGACCCATTTGGTATTTACCCTGGTGTATGATGTAATAAAAAATGGACCAAATTTTATCTTTTTCATATAGCTATCTAGTTATCCCAATACCACTTATCAAAAAGTCCATACTTTCCACACTGACACTATTACTGTGTTAGCATTTAATAAATTCCTATTTGCAACTGGATCTATTACTAGATATTTTCCTCTATTCCACTGGGCTGTCTATTCATGTGCCAATATTAAATTGTATTAATTACAGAGACTTTGTGGTATTTTAAATGTCTGGCAGGGCTAGCCTCTGCCCCCTGCCCCTTCATTTTTCTTCTTTTTTAGGGTTTTCCTGGCTCTCTCCAAAGTAATCACCATGCTAAAGAGCTACATTCCTGAAAGCAAAAGATAGTACTTAAAACATATTTCAAATTTAGACTCTGATTATGACAGAATCACCACTTCACTATGTTCTAAATTATATCTGCAATTTTCCTATACAGATAGAAAAAAAATGAAAGAAATGTACTAATAAAGACATTTACCCATTTACAAATGGCTAAAATTCTCACATTCCTACCTAGCTTTGAATAGAAGAACAAATTTAACTAGAAAATTTCTGGCTGAGTCATGAAAATTAGGGAGGTTTACCTGCTATACGTAGGTCAGCTGTCATCACACTTGTCTTGACTGAAGAAGCAAGACATTACAAATCTGGATGGTAATCAATTTTATAATTTCTTTGTATCATTACCAAAACCAAATCCATTTACATTAAGCAGCTCTAAATATACTGGAGGTTCACAGAAACATACCTGGCAATCCTCTCCAGCACCACCAGACTGATTCAACAAGTGTGCTGCATCACTCTGGTTACCACTTGCATGCCCAAGACGATGTTTAACAGGAACTTTGTTAAGGACGTATGCACCCGATGTCTGTGGCTTATTCATCATCTGCATATACAAAAGAAATACACATGTAGTAAAGTTTAAAAACATGCCCAGGACTATGATGACAGATATATGGTCGACTGATTTTGACACAAGTGCTAAGTCCATTCAATGGGGAAAGAATAGTCTCTTTAACAACTGGTGCTGGCATAACTGGATACCCATCTGCAAAAAAATGAAACAAGACCATACCTCACACCATGCACAAAAACTAACTCAAAATGGATCAAAGACCTAAATACAAATCTAAAATGATAAAGATCATGGAAGAAAAAATAGGGATAACACTAGAAGCCCTAATACATGGCATAAACAGAATATAAAACATAACTAACAATGCACAAACACCAGAAGACTTCACCAAGAGTCAAAAGACAACCTACAGACTGGGAAAAAATTTTTGGCTACGACAAGCCCGATCTCTAAAATCTCTAATCTCTACGACAAGTCCGATCTCTAATCTCTAAAATCTACAGGATACTGTAGAACTTCGAACTTCAACAATAAAAAGATGAATAATCCAATTAAAATATGTGCAAAGGATATGCACAGGCACTTCACCAAAGAAGACACTCAGGTGGCTAACGGATACATGAGGAAATGCTCATGATCATTAGCCATTAGAGAAATGCAAATCAAAACTACAATGAGATACCATCTCACCCCAGTAAGGCCAGCATAAATTCAAAACACACAAAATAATAAATGTTGGAGAGGCTATGGAGAGACTGGAACACTTATACACTGTTGGTGGGAATGTAAAATGGTACAACCACTTTGGAAATCAATTTGGCGCTTCCTTAAAAAGCTAGAAATCGAAGGACCATATGATCCAGCAATCCCACTCCTTGGAATATATCCTACAGAAATAAGAGCCGTCACACGAATAGATATATGCACACCCATGTTCACTGCAGCACTGTTCACAACAGAAAAAAGATGGAAGCAACGTAGGTGCCCACCAACAGGTGAATGGATAAATTATGGTATATTCACACAATGGAATACTAAACAACAATAAAGAACAACAATGAACCTGTGAAACATCTCATAACATGGATGAATCTGGAAGGCATTACGCTGAGTGAAATCAGTCAGTTGCAAAAGGACAAATATCGTATGAGACCACTACTACAAGATCTCAAGAAAAGGTTTAAACACAAAAGAAAACATTCTTTGATGGTTATGAGGGTGGGGAGGGAAGGAGAGGGGTATTCACTAACTAGATAGTAGACAAGAATTATCTTAGGTGAAGGAAAGGACAACACACACTACAGGGGAAGTCAGCACAACTGGACTAAACCAAAAGCTAAGAAGTTTCCTGAAAACAACCAAATACTCTGAGGGACAGAGTAGCAAGGGCAGGTCTGGGGACCATGGTTTCAGGGGACACCTAGGTCAACTGGCATAACAAAGTTTATTAAGAAAAGGTTCTGCATCTCACTTTGGTGAGTGGTGTCTGGAGTCTTAAAAGCTAGCGAGTGGCCATCTAAGATGCATCAATTGGTCCCAACCCATCTAGAGCGAAGGAGAATGAAGAACAACAAAAACAGAAGGAAAATATTACCCCAAGAGACAAAATGGGCCACATAAACCAGAGATTCCATCAGCCTGAGACCAGAAGAACTAGATGGTGCCCGGCTACCACCAATGACCGCCCTGACAGGGAACACAACAGAGAGTCCCTGACGGAGCAGGAGAAAAGTGGGGTGCAGAACTCAAATTCCAGTAAAAAAGACTAGACTTAATGATCTGAGACTGGAGGAACCCCAGAAGACATGGCTGCCGGACTCTGTTAACCCAGAACTAAAGCCATTCCCAAAGCCAACTCTTCAAACAAAGATTAGACTGTACTATAAGACATAAAATGATACTCGTGAAGAGCGTGCTTCTTAGTTCAAGTAGATACAGGAGACTAAATGGGCAGCTCCTGTCTGGAGGCGAGGTGAGAAGGCAGAAAGGGATAGGAGCTGGTTGAATGGAGATGGGAAATGAGGGGTGGAGAGGAGGAGTGTGCTGTCACATTATAGGGATAGCAAGTATGGTCACATACCAATTTATGTATAAACTTTTGTATGAGAAACTAACTTAAGGTGTAAACTTTCACTTAAAGCACAATAAAAAATAAATGGTGCTGGGACAACTGGATTTCCACGTGCAGAAGAATGAAGCTGCACCTTTACTTCACACCATATATGGAAATTAACTCAAAATGAATCAAGGACCTAAATGTAAGAAAACCATAAAACTCTTAGAATAAAACAAAAGGGTATGCCTCCGGATCTAGCTTTTGACAATGGATTCTTATATATGACACCAAAAACACAAACAATAAAAGATGAAACAGATAAATTGGACCTCATCAAAATTAAAAACTTCTGGGCATCAAAGGACTTTATAAGCGAAGTGAAGAGACAACCTACAGATTGCGAGAAAATCTTGGGGAATCCCATTACCAGATAAGCGTTTAATTTCCAGAATATATAAAGAACTCCTACAACTTTAAAGCAAAAAAGACAAAACAACTCAATCAAAAAACAGTCAAACGAGTTGAAAAGACATTTTACCAAAGAAGAAATACAAATAGCCAACAAGCATTATGAAAGATGTTCAATGTCATTACTCATTAGGGAAATGTAAATCAAAACCACAATGAGATACCACTTTACTCCCACCAGGATGGCTATGATCAAAAAAACAGAAAACAGAGCTGGCAAGGATGTGGAGAAACTGGAACTCTTATCCATTGCTAGTAGGAACATAAAATGGTGTAGTCACTATGGAAAACAGTTTAGTGGTTCCTCAAAAGGTTAAACACAGAGCTACCATATGACCCAGCAATTCCACTCCTAAGTATATACCCAAAAGAATTGAAAGCAGGAATGCAGATACTTGTACACCAGTGTTCACTGCAGCATTATTCACGACAGTCAAAAGGTGGAAACAACCTAAATGTCTATTAAAAGATGAATGGATAAACAAAATGTGGCATATATATATAAATGGAATATTACTCAAGTCATAAAAAGAAACAAAGTACTAATAAATGCTACAAAATGGATGAACCTTGAAAACATTATGCTGAGTGAAATAAGTCAGTAACAAAAGGACAAATATTATATAATCTCACTTATATGAAATACCTAGAATTAAGAAAAAAAAAGGTAGAGTCCAAAGTTCATTACTGGTTATCAGGGTGAAAGTGATAAGTGGTTAAAGGTGATGGAAAAATCTGGAAACAGTAGCAATGGTTGAAAATAATGAACGTAATTAATTGTACATGTAAAATATGTTGAAATGGCAAATGTTTTGCTATATGTATTTTTACCACAATAAAAAACAATAAAGATCAATTTTATGCCCTCTACCCCACCAAAGAAAACCAAAAACATACCTAGGAATTATATAAATTTAGGATAGTGATTACCCCAAGGAAAAAGATAAGCAAATGGAAAGGGAAGAGGGCTTCAATTATCTGTAAGGTTTACATTTTTAAGTGAAGTGGTGGATATACAATGTTGTTATCTATATTTTTTGAATGTCCGAAATATGTCACAACAAAATACATGCATGTATATGTGTACATGCTGATACAGACAAAAATTGCTAGTAGGTACATTTTATGTTCCCTCTGATACATAATGCTCTGAAAGACGTGAAGATTTTAATTGACAGTAATCTAATATGAGTAACAGTGTGACAAGGCTACCCAAAAACCATAATGCAATCTTGAGCTGCATTAACAGAACATGGTATAATGGATCACAGAGGTGGTGATATCACTCTTTTCTATACTTTTCAGCTGACATCTAGAGGAAGTATTCACCTCTGAGCCCTAACATGAAGTGGGACATAGACAAACTAGATTCAGGTTTAGATGAAAACAGGCAGGATGACAAATGGAATTAAAACCATACATTGTAAGGAATTCTTCTTTAAAAAAAGTCTGAACACATTTAATCTAAACCAAAGAATCTTGTTGTTATTGTCCCAAGCTGCCGCCAAGTTGGCCCCCAAGTCATGGCAACCCCATGCACAATGGGATCAGACCATTATGATCCACAGGGTTTTCATTATGATCTATAGGGTTTTCATTGACTGATTTTTCAGAAGCAGACTGCCAGGCCTTTCTTCCTTGTCTCAGTCTGAAAACTCCACTGAAACCAGTTCAGCATCACAGCAACACGTAAGCTTATACTGATAAACAAGTGGTGGCTGAACATGAGGTACAGTGGCTGGGAATCGAACCTGGGTCTCCTGCATGGAAGGTGAGAATTCTTACCACTGAGACACAATTGCCCAGAAACAAAACAGTATCAAGGTAGAAATTATCAACAAATATCTGAACGGCTCTAATGTGTGGTAGGTTTGTTCTTTCCTTCAATCATCCATTCAAATACATTTTGAGCAATATGTGCTAAGCATTTATTTAGGTACTAGGGATAGAATGAACATAACAGACAAAAATCTCAATTCTTAGGGAGCTTCTATTTCAGTTTTTAAATAGAAAGAATTTGAAAACTGGGAAAATGGGAAAAAGTAGGACAAATAGGTGGATAAAAGGGAGAGAGATTCTAGCACAAAATCAGAAAGAAGTTAAAGATTCAGAGTTGTCTAGTGGTAAACGGTTATCATGCTTTAGTATAAGTAAGAATCACTTAGATTTATTAAACATGTATATTAACAGGCCCTATCCCTAGAGAGGCCCTGGTGGCACAATGGTTAAGAGCTCAGGCTGCTACCAAAAGGTTGGCAGTTTGAATCCACCAGCCGCTCCTTGGAAACCCTATGGGGTAGTTCTACTCTGTCCTATAGGGTCACTATGAGTTGGAATCAACTCGACGGCAACAAGTTTGGTGGTTTTTTGTTTTGGTTTTTATACCTAGAGGTTGACTCTCTAGGTTTGAGAGGATGAGTCCCAGGAATCTGTGACTCTGATGTAGAACAGTGCTTCTCAAACCTAGTATACCTAAGAGTCACCTGGGGAGCTTGTTAAAACACAGATTGCTGGGCCCCACCCCAGGGATTCTGATTCAGTAGGTCGGGGTGAGACCTATGAATTTGCAATTCTAATAAGCTCCCAGGAGATCAGATGTTGCTGGTCTGTAGGTGAAACTATGAGTAGCACTGATGTAGAAAACTAGAATCTAGGACCATGAATTGAGAAACACTGATCCAGAGGGTATGACTGGATAACCTTTAACTCCCTGTGAACCAGTAAATTACCTTCTGGATGCCTCCATGTACTGTTGAAGGAGGAGTCTGGGCCACCAACACCTGCTGCTGGTGAAGGTGCTGTGGCAGGTGATGGTGCTGCTGTGACAAGTGACTAAGTGTTTGCTGCTGCTGGAGGAGCAGCTGCGTTGGGGACTGCAGTGCTGGTTGCTCATTGTTTTCCCTATGCCATAAGACGCGAATGAATCGGTTGTTTAGAACTGCTTCTGTGCTGGAAATGGCTTTCCTGGCCTCCTCATTGGTGAGATATTGAATGAGGGCTGCTTCTGGATCACCCTTAAAAGCAACCTTTAAGGAAAAAAACACAAAAATTAACTAAACGTTAAATGCAAATAAATTAATGACAATTCAAAAACAGAAAACAGTCTGTTGAAATCCATTGTGAATTTTTTGTAAATCAATGTCTCCATTCATTAAATGATGACATGCATATTTCAAAATTATATATGATAAAAAGGAATAATTATTTAATAATTCTAGTAATATTATTTAACCACTTGGGAAAAAGTTAGGTTATATCCCTTCCTGATATCTTATTTTCAAATAAACTTCACAGAGAAAATATTTTACAATACAAAAAAAATTTAAAAATTAAGAGGAAAATAAGCTAAATAGCCTTATTTTGGAAAGCTTTTTTATGCATATGTAAAAAGGTGAGATTCATAAAGACAAAAAGTGATAAATCTGATTATAAAAAAATTTTAAACCTCTACCACTCAAAATATTCCATCAACAAAATAAATGACAAATAGAAAATATATTTTTAACATATATGGCAAGCAAAGATTTTGTAAAGCATTATCAATAATAAAAAACAAATGCCTTAAAAAAAATGGGCAAAAACAATGGATAGGTAAATCCAAAAGAACTGTAGATGGTCTATATAAATTAAAGAAGAATGTAGCTAGTAATAAAAAAATGCAAATTAAAACAAGTATAATTTTTCACCTATTAAATTTGTTTTATAAAGTTTCAATAGATTAATATGACAGTGCTGATGGGGTTTCACATATTACACTTGGAAGTATCAATTGGTACAACTCACTTGGAGAACAACTTGACAGTTCAAACCAAAAGTCTTAAAATTAGCACATCCTTAGTGATTACCAGAGGGAATCCCTCAGTGATGTAAACGGTTAACATGCTCGGCTGCTGACCAAAAGGTTAGAGGTTCAAGTCTACTCTGAGGTACCTAGGAAGAAAGCCCTGGTGATCTAGTTCCAAAAAATCAGCCACTGAAAATCTTATACAGTACAGTTCTACTATGACACACATGGATCACCATGAGTTGGAGCTGACACGACGACAACTGGTTCAGTGGTTGCCAGGGGTAGGTGGGAGGGGGAGATGGGGAAATTATCACTTGCTTAAGGGATACTGAGTTTCTGTTAAGGATGATTAAAAAAAAAATTGGAAATGCATAGTGGTAATAGTCGCACAACATGGTAAATGTAACAAATGCCACTGAATTGTACATGTAAAAATGAATAAATGGAAAATGTTTTGTTACATACCATGTTTTATGCAAATAACATGTACCTTCTACCTTTGTTTGCCAACTGCCCCCCACCCCAATTAGGTATTTTTAAAATCGTGCTATTCTAAATTTTTTCACAGCAACATGTAAAAAAAAGCTGGCATAGAGGTGCTTATGAAAATACTTTGTAGGATAAGTAAAGCACTACTGAAGAAGAAGAATAAAGTTGGAGGACTCCCAGTACCTGACCTCAGAACCTACTATACAGCTATGGTAGTCTAAACAGCCTGGTACTGGTACAACGACAGATACATTGACCAATGGAACAGAATTGAGAACCCAGATATAAATCCATCCACCTACGGTCACCTATCTTCCACAAGGGCCCAAAGTCCATCAAATGGAGAAAAGATAGTCTTTTTAACAAATGCTGCTGGCAAAATTGGATATCCATCTGCAAAAAAATGAAACAGGACCCATACCTCACGCCATATACAGAAACTAAATCAAAATGGATCAAAGACTTGAATATAAAGCCTAAAACTATAAAGTTCATAGAAGAAAAAATAGGACCAACACTACAGGCCTTAATACACAGCATTAACAGGATACACACCATAACCATCAACGCACAAACCCTAATAGATAAGCTAGATAACTGGGATCTTATAAAAATCAAACACCTATGCTCTTCCAAAGACTTCACCAAAAGAGTAAAAAGAGAACCTACAGACTGGGAAGAAATTTTTGGACAGTACAAGTCAGACAAAGGTCTAATCTCCATACTCTACAAGAAAATCCAACACCTCTATAACAAAAAGACAAATAATCCTATTAAAAAATGGGCAAATGAAATGAACAAATACTTCACCAAAGAAGACAATGAAATGGCCAACAGACACATGAGGAAATGCTCGCGATCACTAGCCGTTAGAGAAATGCAAATTAAAACCACAATGAGATACCATCTCACCCTGGCATTATTGGCACGAATCAAAAACACTGGAAATAACAAATGTTGGAGGGGCTGCGGGGAGATGGGAACTCTTATGCACTGCTGGTGGGAATGCAAAATGATACAACCATTTTGGAAAATGATATGGCGCTTCCTCAGAAAGCTAGAAATAGACATACCATTCGATCCAGCAATCCCACTCCTAGGAATATATCCTAGAGAAATAAGAGTTGTCACTCGAATAGACATATGCACACCTATGTTCATGGCAGCATTGTTCCCAATAGCAAAACGATGGAAACAACCTAGATGACCATCAACAGATGAATGGATAAACAAACTATGGTACATACACACAATGGAATACTATGCAATGAGAAAGAACAACGAATCTGTGAAGCATCTCATAACATGGATGAAACTGGAGGACATTATGCTGAGTGAAATAAGTCAATCACAAAAGGACAAATATTGTATGAGACCTCTATTGTAAAAACCCATGAAAAAGTTCACACACAAAATGTAACAATCTTTGTTGGTTACCAGGGATGGGAGGGGTGGGGAGGAAATACTACCTAGGCAATAGCTAAGTGGTATCTTGGGTGAAGGGTGAGACAGTACACAATACAGGGGAAACTAGCACAACTTGTACAAGGAAAGGTCATGGAAGCCCCATACACACATCCAAACTCCCTGAGGGACCGAACTGCTGGGCAGAGGGCTGTGGGGACCATGGTCTCGGGGAACATCTAGCTCAACTGGCATGACACAGCTTATAAAGACAATGCTCTACATTCTACCTTGGTGAGTAGTGTCTGGGGTCTTAAAAGTCTGTGAGCGGCTGTCTAAGATACTCCACTGGTCTCATCCCTTCGGGAGCAAGGGAGAATGAAGAGAACAGGATACAAGGGAAAGATCAGTCCAAACGACTAATGGTCCACAGCTACCAAAGCCTCCACCAGACTGAGTCCAGTACAGCTAGATGGTACCTGGCTACCACCACTGACTGCTCTGACCAGGATCACAACAGCAGGTTCTAGACAGAGCTGGAGAAGGATGTAGAACAAAATTCTAACACACACACAAAAAAAGACCAGATTTACTGGCCTACCGGAGACTGGAGAAACCCCAAGAGTATGGCCCCCAGACACCCTTTTGCTCAGTGGTGAAGTCACTTCCGAGGTTCACCGTTCAGCCTGGGAGTGGATAGGCCCATAAAACAAAACGAGACTAATGATACACAGCAGTCCAGGGACAAGGGCTAGAAGGCAGAAGGGACAGGAAAGCTGCCGATAGGGAACCCAAGGTTGAGTAAGGACAGTGTTGATGTGCTGTGAGGTCGTTCACCATTGCCATAGGGCAACATGTGTACTAACTGTTTAATGAGAAAACTATTTTGTTCTGTAAGCCATCATCTAAAGTGAGAATAGCAGCACAATTGGAAGAGTGTAGTCGATGTCTCTGAACTGTGCATATAGAAATTTCTGAAATGGTGTCTCTTTGGCTCTGTATAGTTTCACCAAAAAAAAAAAAAAAAACGGTCGAGAAGAGAGAGGTTGACATGTTGTGGGGTTGTTAACCAATGTCATAGAACAATTTGTGTACTACTGTTTAATGAGAAACTATTTGTTCTATAAACCTTCACCTGAAGTACAATTAAAAAAAAAAAGAAAATACTTTGTAGGGGGAGGGTATGGTTGGCAAAAAAATACAGAAGGTGTGAATCATTTGCGTAAAAATACAGTATATATTTTACCAAAGTAAAATTTAAAAAAAGAACAAAAAAATTAGTATATCCTTTAACTCAGCAATGTCATAAAAAAATAATAACAGTTTATCCACAAAAATGCTCATCAGAGCATTGTTTTTATAGAACAGAAAAAACATACACTTCCAACAGAGAATAGTCAACTAAATTATGCTCCATCTATATTAAGCCATCTAAAAATTTTAAAATGCCATGAAGAATATTTAACAACCTAGGGAAATTTTAAGAGGAAAAAAAGTAGTTAGACACATTTGGTATGCTCACATTTCTTGTATTTTTTAATTGTGTGAAGATATTTTAAAAAAAAGAGTGTGTGTATACATGTATAGACTTCCATATAAATAAATTTAAACCATATTACCCTTTCATCAAAAGATAAACAGCTGTTATTGCCAAGTGGAGAGATTTGGGTGATTTGTTTTTTCACTTGTATTTGATGTACTTCCAATTATTAGTACAACTAAACATGCGCTACTTCAGCACTCAGGCAAAAAAAAAAAAATCGCTTAAAAAAAATCTCTCGAAAGAATACTTTGGTTCAATTCTTTGAAATACTAAGTTCCACGATGTTGTTGTTAGGCACTGTTGAATCAATTCTAACTCCTAGTGAACCCATGTGACAGAGTAGACCTGCCCCATAAGGTTTTCTTGGCTGTAATCTTTATGGAAGCAGAGAGCCAAGTCTTTCTCCCGCGGAGCTGCTGGGTTGGTTTTAATCACCAGCCTTTTGGATAACAGCCAAACACCTAACAGTTGCGCCACCATGGCTCAATTACATAAATTGTATTTTGGTTTGACAGCAACACTTAAGTAACAAGGGTAATTAACAAACTGAAATTCTAGCTTTCAAGTATCCTCAATTAAAGCATAACACTCAACCACAAATAAATAAATTTAAATATCTAACAAGTAGACAGCAAAATTCAAAAGCTACAATTTATTTGATCTTGGAGAAAATATTATACTGCCAAAAATCCTCCAAGACTAGACTCATTCTTAACTAATTACTATTTCACCACAGCACAAAAGTTAGTCAGCGGACAAGATTATAATCTTAGAAATTACCAAAAATCTCAGCTACCCAGTTAAAATACTAAAGCAGCTGAAAAAGTCATTTGTTCATAGATAGAAGTATAAACAAAAATGCAGTAACTATCCCAGTGTCTTTCAAAGAGAGGTTGCAGAGAAGCAACAAAAGAAATCACAAGAACAAACTCAGCTTAATAATTTCATTATAAACTTAATAATTTCATTGGACATCCTGGTATATGGAGCCCTGGTGGCGCAGTGGGTAAGCATTTGGCTACTAACCAAAAGGCTGGCAGTTTGAATCCACCAGCTGCTCCTTGGAAACCTGTGGGGCAGTTCTACTCTGTCCTATAGGGTTGCTCTGAGTCAGAACTGACTCAACAGCAATGGGGTTTTTTAATATAGGTATATGTGGAGTTTATAAGGCTAAGCAGAGCTGACCAGAATAAGCACTGGCTCAAGGTGACAGCAATACTTCCAAAGATCTATAAATAGCATAGATTCTGTCCCCAGCACAGCCACACTTACCTGGATGTTAACAATAGTTCCAAATTTGCTGAAGTGTTCATTGAGCTTGGTAATGTTGTTCAATTCCTGAGGGATTTTCTTGACTTCTAATTTGGTGTTTGTATACTGATTCTTTCGCAAGAATCCTGGTTTACTCTGACTGTTATTCCCTTGCCTAGAAGAAATATTAATAGATCTTGGTTAATTCTCCCACCTCATACCTTGCAAAGGGATACGTCACGAAGAATTTAAATTTATATATATTAAAAAGTATCTTTTGTAAGACCTTAACATTCTTCAATAATCACTAATTTTCGTATCATTCTTATTATATGGGAATAGAACACTTCACAGGGGGAGAGAAAGAAAGAAGAGTGAATGGCAAAAGGTTACAAGGAGAAGCCAAAATGAAACTGAAAACCAGATGCTGAGAAGATCCACCACAATTATCTACAGAATCTAACATTAAAGCAAGAATAGAGTTGCACTTTTTTATGGTGCTTTTTCAACTCCTGGGAAGGTACACCTTCTTCTTTCTTTCTTTTTTTTAAATAATATTTTATTATATTTTTGGTGAAAGTGTACACAGCAAAACAGGTTTCCATTCAACAATTTCCACACATATTGTTCAGCGACAAAGGTTACATTCTCTTTTTTTTCTATTATTATACAGGGTTTATTTGTTTTTACAAAAGCAGAACAACTATAACAACAACAACAACACTAATCTACTGTGGGTGACTTGCCCCATCCATATTTCCTGGGATCTCGGTGTCATTTTTTTTTTTTAATTTTATTTTGTTGTTGTTGTTGAGACCATATACAGCAAAACATGAAACAATTTAACCGTTTCTACATGTACAATTCAATGACACTGATTACATTCTTCAAGTTGTGCAAACATTCTCACCCTCCTTTTGAGTTGTTCCTCCCTCATTAACATAAACTTATTGCCCCCTGAGGTTCCTATCTAATCGTTTGAGGTGTTGCTGTCAATTTGAGCCCATATAGATAGTTCTTAAAAGAGCATAATGCTCAAGGCAGACATTTTTTTACTAGTTAAGTTAAACTATTGTTTGGTATTAAGAATACTTCAGGGGGTATTTTTGGTTTAAGTTTTAAAGATCATCTCAGGGTGATAGCTTCAGGGGTTTATCCAGCCTCCATGGCTCCAGAAACTTTGGAGTCCATGAGAATTTGAAATTCTGTTCTGCATTTTCCCCTTTTTGATCAGGATTCTTCTATAGAATCTTCGACCAAAATGTTCAGTTCTTCTGGTCTCATAGCAAAGGAGGCAATTAGCAATACATTCCATATCCTCTTCCTATTCCTGACTCTCCTTTTTCCTCTGTTGCTCCAGTCAAATAGGATCAATTGTCATGCCTTGGATGGTCGCTTGCAAGCTTTTAAGACCCCTTTTCTTCTTTTCTACTCATTTCCAGTATCTCAATAATTTCTAATATTGAGTTGGGCTTAGAAATAGGTAGGTATTACAAATATCAATTATGAATATTCTATTAGCTTTTTGATTTTAGAACTTTCTTGGAGCCCTAACTTTGAGACACATAGTTTGAATGACAACTTTTAATTTTATAAATTTACTAACACAAAGTAACAACAAAAACACTGATGAATAAAAAAGATCAGACTTACTGGTTTGACAGAGACTGGTGGAACCCCCAAGACTATGGCCCTATGACACCCTTCTGACCTGGAACTGAAGCTTTTCCCGAAGACAATCTTTCAGCCAAACAACAGACAGGCCCGTAAAACAAACAATAACACCCGAGAGGAACGTACTCCTTAGAACAATCAATTATACGAGATCAAAAGGGCAATATTTGCCCAAAAACAAAGATGAGAAGGTAGAACGGGGTAGAAAATCCAGGCGAAAGGAAAAGCGGAACCCAGGGCGGAAACGGGGAGAGTGCTGACACATTGTGGGGAATGCAACCTATGTCATGGAACACTTTATGGACAAATATCAAATGGGAAAATAATTTGCTCTGTAAACTTTCACCTAAAGCACAATAAAAAATTAAAAACAAAACATAAAAACTCTGATCAGGTGTTACTAATTAAGAAATTATCTTACTTTCCAAGCCAAGGTTTCTTTGTGAGTGGCCCTTCCAAACCACTCATAGCTCTTTTTCGGCTATCTGGTTCAAGAACTACTCTGGTTATGTTGCTATTAATTGAAACAGGGACTGGTGGTTCAGTCTGGATGACAATGTTAGCAGCTGTTGGAAACAAAAATTTATATTACTGACAAAGCATTTTATTTGGGGAGTTTCAAATAATTAAAATATTTAGTACAAAAATGAAAAAGCAGTGCAAACAGCATTCAATTATTAACATTTCCTTTTCAGAAATACCTAACAATAAGACAAAATTATTAACCACCTCCTCTTTCTAAAAACAGAACACCTAAGTTTAAAAAGTCAAAGGCAACCTCCAATGTAATAATTGATTCAAGCAAGTATCATCCATGGATGCAACAAAATATTGATGAAAGGCTGCTGGAGAACAAGATATTTACATGGTGTCAAACTATCACTCCACAAAGTACTTCTTTTACAATGAAGAGGTCTAAGAGTTATCACCTTAGGCAAGTGAAGAAACTCAGCACCATTAATAAAGGGACACACCTTGACATTATTTGCCTCCTGATGTGATTCAACAAGAAGTTCACCACATCATATGGACTGGATATTAGATACCATGCAATTATGATTCTTACATGTGACAATGATATTGTGCTTCTATAATACTATGTGTTATTCTTAGATGTAAGCTAAAGTATTTAAGAATAATGTTATTTTGAAGAGATTTTTTTAAAAAGTGCATATTTACATATACTTGTACAGGTATATATGTGTATTTATACGTTATATACAATTATACAAGAGTTTCTGGGTGGTGTAAAGAGAGTCCTGGTGATGCAATGGTTAAGTGCTCGGCTGCTAACCGATCGTTCAGCTGTTTGAACCTACCAGCCACTCCATGGGAGAAAGATGTGGCAGTCTGCTTCTGTAAAGATTTACAGCCTTGGAAACCCTGTGGGGCAGTTATACTCTGTCCTATAGGGTCTCTATTAGTCAGAATCAACTCAATCGCAGTGGGTTTGGTTTTTTTGGTTATAAATATGTACAGTAAAACCTGCAAAACCGGAGCCTATGTAAGGCCGGAACCTGTCAGAGAAAGAAAACTCTAGTATGTTCCACTAATAGAGAGGGACAGAATAGTGTTAAGACTGCACTCTCAGTAACAGAAAACTAGCAAGACAGAAAAACAAGGCAGTCCTGTCAAGTTCCAGCACTCACAGGTTTCAGTTTATTTATATATGTATATATGCATTTACGTGTGTGTGTGTATATATATACACACACGCACATACACATAAAAAGAGAAGGGGAGAGAGCAATTGTGCACATGCACACAAGCAAGTGTGCATGCCCAAATGTGACCAAATGTTAACAACTGGTGAATCTAGGTGAAGGTATTCAAGTGTTCATTGTACTTCTTTCAATTTTCAGTAGGTTTAAAATTTTTCAAACTAAAACGTTGGAAAATTCAAAGTCAATACCAGAACTGGCACATTTCCCTCACAACAGTTAAAATTAAAATAATATGAGGAACTGACTTTACAATGGGTCACTCATAGGTGAGAGAGGTATGAACAAAAAAAATAACACAAAACTATGCCTGTTATACCCTAAGCATTTCTCCTAACTTCAGAAACTCCACCAAAAGTAAAAGTAGCAGCAAAGAGTAACATATGTAGTGCTGGACGTTGGGGCAAGGATGGGGATAGGAGGTGGTATGTTCCATTTTATCCATGTAACAGTCAAGGAAATTATGATATACAGATTCATTCATTCGGTATTATTTATCTTTAGCAAGTACTACAGCTCAGCAACTATACTAGACACCTTGTGTAAAAATTAATGAATAAAACAGGGATACGATCCCAACCCTGTTAGGGCTTACATTTTCAGAAGGCTATAAGATGAGACAGCAATTCTTTTAACGGCATAAAGCATTCTAGAACTTGAGATACCATTATCTCTTATCTAAAATAGTTATCATTACCACTTGACATTGCCTAATGCTTTTCTTTATTGAAGTGCTTTATAACAAAGGAAACAGATATAGCTACAGGTTAAGTGACTTGCCCAAGATGACACAGCAAGCCTGTAGTACTCAAGCTACCTGACTTCTAACTGAGAGATTATCTACGGATTACCACTTATAAGTGTATAGATAGACCAGGTGAGTGACAAAGGGAAGACCTGAAATAACTGAAAACATGATCTTCCCACTAATTTCAGGTAAACTGGTAATAATATATGCATTATAGCACAAAGGGTAAAAGCATATTCTCTGGAATAAGATAGTCCTGGGCTCAAGTTCCAGTTCTGCCACTTAACAGCTGTGTGACCTTGGGCAAGTTCCTTAACCCCTAAGACACAGTGTGTTCACCTGTAAAAAATAAAAATAAAAATAGTACCTCTTTTATGGAATTGTTGTAAGGAGTATAAGTACATAAAAGCATTTGATGCCATGCTGACACAGAAACAGCTTGTAGTAGCAACAGTGGTATTAAGAGAAGTGAAGAATTGAAATCAGGGTAGGAAAGTGGTAAGAATAAGAAAATGTTCACCATCTGATTAAGTCATAAAAATATTATGTTGGCCCATGGCCAGTCACTCAAATAAAAATTAAATATTGGTAATCTAATTACAATAACAAGTAAGAAACTAAAATTTCATTAAACTCTTTTTTTTTTTGCCAAACTTTCTATTTTAGGGGAGGAGAGATCAATCTATATTAAAGGTAAAATGCTTGCTTACATTTAATGTGTTTTATTTTTAAGGTTCATGACTAAGCTTTGTAAAGGTCCTAATACGTGGTTTTAATCATAGGTGTTAAAAATGATCACATGACAATTTTATTGCAATGTTTGAGGTTTTCAGTGTTATAGGCTCTTAAATGATCAGTTTTTTGAGGGCAAGAGACTAGGCCTTTTCACTTTTCTACATCCAATATCTAGCACAGTGCCCACTACCTAACTAAAACAGCCTAAAGTCCTAGCAATTAAATAACATTACTATTGTATGTATTTCAAGATAAATATATTTTAATTTTAGCTTTTAAATAAAATTATGAGATAAAGTGATCAAAACATTTATCTGAGATGATTACATAGCTCCTTTCAAAAAGATAGTATGTAAGTAATTTTAGACTTCAATTTCCTCAAGTGAGGTCAGAAACGCAAATGCAGTAACTATACCCAGCTATTACATAATACTTAATCTCAGAAAAATTTCAAGGTATTCTCACCTCTTGGATTTGCATCCATATCTCCAGATGTCAGGCCGATTAGGTTTGGGCGTTGTGTCTGTGTTCTTGAAAAGAACTGTCTGTACTGAGATCTACCAGAACTGGTAATACTAGGAGCTTCTGGGTTATAACCATCGGGTTCATACGTATCTGAGGGGAAACAAAACAAATAAAAACAAACAACAAATCAAAGACAGGTTAAACCATTTCTCACTGCTATAAAATAAACAACTGCTAATTTGTTTTCTTCAACAAATATAATTACATCAACCTATATATATTTCTCTTTGAGCTATAGTACATGGATACATCTTTTGGAAGTGAAAGAAAAAGGGTTCCCGTCACAAAACACTGATTCATAAATCTACTCTGAAATACTGATATATTTCAAGATTTATAAACCCAGTCATTTTTATCCTATATATTATCTAATTCAAATGCCAATGTACACATTTTAAGATAAATTTTCACGTACATGAACACCATATATGAAGGACTGGCTGAGTTTCCTCTGTTATTTATCATGTCTCCCCAATTCCTATGTCTCCTTTTTCAATTAGGGAAATTTTAATTAGAAAAAAGTTCACTTTGTTATCTGAACTTTAAAGTGGAGAAACAGTAGCTGGCTTCACACATAATACATATTTCAAATGGAACAGTTAAATAAGATAAACTTTACATTTATAAACAATTATTTTACCACCAGTCTCTTCATAAATGCTACTTTAAATACAAATTTCAGGTGTTTTTTCTGCAACTAAAAATTTAACTTTAAAAATTATAGCACTAAATAACTATTTCTTTAGGGTTTAAAAAAATTGCAAAGTGTTGGTCTCCAAATGGTACATATCATCTTCATTCTACATAAAATAAAGAAGGGTTAAGATTCACCAGAGATAGTGATTTTTTAAATGTAATTTAGAAGTCCTTGTGCCTCTTTTTTTTTTCTTTTTAATGGAAAAATTCCTTTTGCTGCTCATAACAAGTTTCAGCTATAAGATAAGGTATATTCAAAACTTTATTACTGGTCAATCACTTCTATGATTCGGAGTACAAAATCTGCAAATTATGATAAAAAGTTTTCAGTTACCACAGGTACTCTTGACAGAAAATCTCCTACAGTTAAGGCTGTACAAAGTTTTAAAGAAGTCACACACTCAAATGACCTTGTTCTACAATTCCTGGGAATACACAAACCCCAAGAAACTAAACAGTCGTTTAGTTAATTATAATGAACTGAGACCTAAACGTAAAGTGAGAAATGTTTAAAACCTCATGAGACACCCACAAAGCACCCCATAGATACTCAAAAAGTACAGGTCAATAGGAGGTAAGAATTTTCACGAATCCTACATATATACAACCAGTCCATACAACAAGGGACAGAGGAAAAAAAGACATGCTCATCCATGACCAGCAAGAAGCCAGATGTTTGCTTTTATTTGAAAGAATGATTAACCTAGTTTTTCTTGTAATGTATAACTAACTAGAAAATATTCTAGTCGATTTTGTGTTCCTATCTACCTGATTAAAACTAGCTCAAGGAACTAGCCTGGCTTGTTACCAAGGCACTGAAAGTAAATATAGAGGACACCAGAGATGACAGACACACAGGAGGCCTAATCATCTAGCAGCCACTAGGGACAAACCAAAGTAGCAGAGAAACAGAAAATAAAACTACCTGAGAGTTTTATTGGGAATTTGTGACAGCAGATCAGGATGCCAGGTCACCTATTAGGCTGGCCAGCTTAAGGTACAAAGATCAATGAGGTGGATGGCCATCTGTAGCACAGCTTACCTGGGACCAGAGGGGTGGGGCTGGAGACGGAGGTATGGTACCCAATGGAAGATCCCATGAGGTTGCGAGGTGGCACCAAACGAGCTGCCAACAGAGGAGGCGGTGTCCCCAACTGAAGTCGCTCAGATGCAGCAGCACCATGTTCACGAGAATACATGGGCTGTCCTACAGAGGAAAGAATAGGAGGGCAGCTGGGATTGAGAGTCACAAGCTTCTCTCAGGTAATGATGTACTTCCTGAGACTTTGAGCCAAGAACAGAGAATTATACTAAAGAGAACAGTAAACAAGAAAGGTGTTACTGAGATTCTTTCTAACTCAAGAAAGAATAGACATGGAACTGGTTAGGATGTACCACGGTATAAAGAAAGAGCAAGAATAGGTAGTATGATTGTGTAATAGCCATCTTTTACAGTCTTAAACAGAATAATCATGTGCTAATTTTACCCAAAGCTGAACTATCAACCATATCAAACTATTACACAAAGGAGCCCTGAGCTACTATTCATATAGAATTTTGCATCCAGTGAGACATGCATGCAGATATGAAGGTTGTCACATCCATTTAAAAAAAAAAAAAACCACCCCCAACCCAAATTCACAAAATTTCAGGTATGCATAAAATATACTCCCATATCTGGGAGTAAAAAATAAATAATTAAAAAGCAAAAACAAACAAACAACAACAAAAAAAACCCCAAACAATAACAAGCATACCCTCATAAAGAATAAGAAATGTTCAGAAGAAAAAAAAATTAACTAAACAAGACAGTGATAACATGTTAACCATTTGGGTAGCTGGACAACAAATACACATACATGCTTCCAGGACTACTGTGATTAACAAAGAAAATAAGGTCAAAAACCCATATCAACAGACTAGCCATTGTACATATGAAACTACCCTGCATATTAAGAACCACTTTTTGAAAGAAAGCACACTTAAAAAGTTTATATATATTGATACAAGAATGCCAAGCACATGGTGCCAAATTTTAAAGAACAGGTTTAGAAAAAGACAAGATATCAAGGAGCAAAATTCCCTTTTGCTGGTCATTTAACAGTATCTTTTTCACTGACTACTCCATGAGACGTATTTATAAGATTCAGTCAATGTTTTACACCCAAAGTCAGACATTCACTATGGGACCCAAGACAAAATAAAGTGAATTGGAAGTTTTTTGCACTTGAGGAAATGTCCTTAAAAGTTTTAAATGCCTAGTGATTTTTAATATACATTAATAGGACAGGCTACAGGTCAAACACTTAATAGTAAATGTTGAGAGAAAATGGATGTGTTAAACTTTACCGCACTTCTCTTCCTACATACAGAACAAAGCAAGAGATGACCAATCATATTGTATAGCAGACCATGTAACTGTGCACTTAACAACAACCCCCCCCAAAAAATCAATCATTACACTGCAAAACAATTTTAGCATATCCTCAATGATCTGAAGATAATTATAAGTATGACCTACTGCAGAGAATTCCATGCTGAGTGAGCTATCAGCAGAAGTACCGTGCTAATGAGAAAAAAATGGGAAGGAAGTACAATCTGAGTCCATTTGACTACGTTTAAATTTATGGCACAGCACTCAATAAACCAAGTATATCTAAACAATAATCTCTAAGTAAATTAGAAATTAAAAGGCCACCTTGCACAATATTTTTAAAATAAATGACAAAGGACATGCATTTAAATGCCTCAAAAACATGGCTGTTATTTGAGTGAAGCATGACTTCCTTTTAAAACACCAATTACAAATCTCTAATACTATTTCTAAAAGAAAGTAGGGTTCCTTAGACAAATAGTTGGTTCTAGGCCAGGGCAGAAAATGTGTAAGATAAGCCTGGTATACTTTATCCTTCCAGAAGCAAGACAGCTATTAAGGACTTAGATATCATGTCAAAAAAAAAAGAAAGAACAAAAACAACCTCAGGAGCCAACACGAAGAGGCTCCCACTGGTCAAAAATGAGAAAATTTGATTGACAACAGCAACTCCAAAGATTAAGATAGAATCTTAGAGCACAGTGAGTTTATGTTAATGGTGGAGGAACAATTTGGAAAAGGAGGGTGAGAATGGCTGCACAACGTGAAAAATACAATCAATGTCACTGAATTATACACAACACAATTGTTGACTGGTGTATGCTCTGTTGTGTATGTTCTCAACAAAATAAATTATTTTTTAAAAGGAGACAATTTGAGCATCAAAAAGAATTTTAATGGGGTGAAACATATCAAATATGTTTTTAAAAAAATCCAGGAGTTCAACAGGAAAGCTGGTGATAGGGAATCCAAGGTTGAGTAAGGACAGTGTTGACATGTAGTGGGGTTCTTAACCATTGTCACAGTGCAATATGTGCACTAACTGTTAAATGAGAAACTATTTTGTCCTGTAAACCTTCACCTAAAGTGAGAACAGCAGCACAACTGGAAGAACATAGTTTATGTCACTGAATTGTACATGTAGAAATTTTTGAAATGGTGTATCTTTGGCTATGTATATTTGCACCAAAAAAAAAAAAAAGGTCCTCCAAGTTCGAGAAGGGAGAGTGTTGACATGTCATAGGGTTGATAACCAATGTCTTAAAACAATATGTATACTGACTGTTTAATGAGGAACTATTTGTTCTGTAAACTTTCACCTAAAGTACAAAAAAAAAAAAAAAATCCAGAGTTCATAATGATATTTAAAAAAAAAAAAAGTACAGTGGTCACCTATGGAAGATACTAGGGAACTAACTCATTCCTCTGAAAATAGACACATGAAAGGAAACAATTAAGCATTTATCCTGTCTTTCCTGTAAAAACTGCATTTCAGGTTGATGTTGCCAAGTTTCTCTTTACAGAATCCCAGTCAATAAATGTAGAAGACATTATCAAATTAGAATGTCATGATTTTGTAAACCCCTAGTTAAATAACAAATTGCCTACAATGATCACAAATCGCAGCTAAAACCATAAGCAACTTTAAAATGGATGGATCAGAGAAAAATACCTGTACACAATGATAATGTAACACAGAAAAGAGACAACCAGACATATGTGCATCATGATGTACTGCAGTGGGAAGCACATAACTCCACTTATAAAATAATCTTGCCCCCCAAAAACCAAAAAAAAAAAAAAAAAAAATCAAACATGAACCTAATTCTCTAGCTCTAACCTCCAATTTACAGGAATTACAGGGAATACAGGAATGTGTTAAATGACACCATGAAGATGTAATCTACCAAATCCAGGATGTGAAAAAATTCCTCAGGACAACTAACCCATTCCTTCACAAATAAATGGCGAGGGGAAAAAAAAAAAAAGAAGAGGTATGGGAAATTGTTATAGATTTAAAGACTAGATTAAAACATTAATTAAATACATTATGTAACCTTGTTTGGATCCAGTTTCAAACAAACAAGCTGTAAAAAGACACTTATGACACAACTGGAAGATACGAACACTGACTGGATATCTGACAAAAGTAAGGAACTGTTGTTAATTTTTGGGTCGTATGATGAAAGTATGGTGATTATGATTGTGTGTGTTTAATTTTTATCTGTTAGAGGTACATACTGAAATTTTTACAGATGAAATGTTATGTTTGGGATTTTTCTAAAGTAACTGCATCAAGGGTGGGTTATAGATGAAGCAAGATTAACCATATGTTGACAACTGCTGAAGCTAAGGAATGGGCACATGGATATTTACTATACTATCCACTCCTCTTTTCTGTACATTGAAATTTTCCATAATAAAAAGTTTGTAAAAATCATAAACAGGTTATAACAATGTTGAAGATAAGCCAGTGGGCATTCATATTCATTCAATTTCTTTTTATTCAGTATGGAATGCAAATAATCCCAAACTTCCAACATTCCAATTTATCCAAATTCATGTTCTCAACTTCATTTGTTCATGAATTTTACATGCCTGATACTAACATTTCCACATTCTTAACGTTAACTCAGGAAACCCCGGTGCCATAGTGGTTAAGAGCTACAGCTGCTAACCAAAAGGTTGGTAGTTTGAATTCACCAGGCGCTCCTTGGAAACTATATGGGCCAGTTCTACTTTGTCCTATAGGGTCGCTATGAGTCAGAATCGACTTGACGGCAATGGGTTTAGCTTTTGTTTTTGTTTTTTTAAATGTTAACTCTAGTCAGTTGAAGACAGTCTTTAATCAAACTAAAATTTTAGTCTTTGTAATTCTTCTGATTTTGTATTTAAGAGTGTTCAGGGAAAAAATTGCAAGATAAATTTTAAACTGAAATTTTTAAAAAGGAAAGAAAAGCTATGTCTTCCAAATACTGGCAGTATTTATGTATCTTCTGTATTAGAATACAAAGTCCCTGTGCACTTCTGGAATCCCAGGTCCTAACTGGTGCCTGACACATAGTAGGAATTCAACAGAGTCACTGAAAGAAGGGATAAAAGCTTATTTATTAAAAGTACCCAAATGACAATCAAGTATTTATCTAGATGAATATCTATATGTTTAAATGGGCAACATGACAGCTAATACAACACAAACTAAGGTAAAATACCAGCAGAGGAAAAACTAAATCATACACAAGGACTCTATTAGAAACTCACTTTTCTAGACACCAATATCTACTATTCTTCACAGAGGAATGTTATTAATGAATTAAATGAAGAAATCTTAAGTCTAAGGAATATCGTGTTTTTAGGATTTTACATAGTTGATAATAGGAAAAGTATTGTTGAAAGATCAAGATTATTTATGTGAATTCATTTGAAGATTAACTGCCTTCAACCCAAGAATCATTAGCCAGAATTCCCACACTATATACTACTCTTACTTTTTCAAATATCCAGTACAATGAACCGAACAGATATAAAATATTTTTACTATGTCTTCTTCAAAGAAGCAGAAGAGATCAAACTTAAGGCAGAGAAGAGAGTATATGTTACATATACTCTCAACATTTTGTACCAAAAAATGGTTTATGAAAACCAACAAACACACAGAGTCGGTGACTTCAAATTTCAGTGAAATATTTAAGTACTTTAGAAGAAATAGTTGAATTTAATAGATATGGCATGGCTGTCTTCCTACACAACTCCAATTACATCTCATTACTTACACCACTTTCATAGAATTTGTGACATTTTAACTCAACAAAAACAACAAAATGTCAAAGACT